TTCCAATATAACTGTATTCTACTTTCTTCATAGTGCTCGACTTGCATGTTGAACTTACAGAGCACTTGTTTAGAATTAAAAGGAAGTCTTTCTGGAGGCACTTAACATTTATATCAACTCTCTGAGTTACAGCAATGCTTACAAAACACGTTTTGATCTTTCATCTTTATGTGCAAAGTCACTTTTTCATGACCATTTTCTCCCCTCTTCTTAATGGGTTTGCAGATGTAGCTTCTACTTACATCCATGTGAGGGTTCTACTGTTCAGATCCTTACCCAGGGAAAGCTGAGTGCGCCTCGCATATTAAGAATTCACAAAGTAAGCATCTTTTCCTTGAATCTTGTGGTGGAGTCAGTATTGTGGTGATCTACATTGGCCTTTGTTGGTTTACTAAGTCACTTGCTGTATGCATATTACCAGGATACTTGAAGTTTTGAACGATTCTCTTTTCCTGACCCATTATGTCTTGTGTCCCATGCATTTACATAGTAAAGAAACTCAAAGATATAACAATAACATACCCAGTGAAATCCTACAAGTGGGATCTGGGGAGAGTTGAGCGTATGCAGACCTTACCCTACTTCGTGGAGGTAGAGAGGCTGTTTCTGAAGGATCCTTGTCTCAATTGAAAGAAACTCAAAAGATATACTGGAGGAATATGCCAATGAACTATCTGAAGCATTTATATAGGTTGGTAACACCTGTGTTCTTGAGAGAAAGATGGTGAGGATTATCTGCCTTGAAGCGTTGTCAATAATAATGGAAGTCATACTCCCGCACAACTATTTTGTTGTGTGATTATACAACCTATTGTTCTAATGAAACAATACTGATCTGCTGGTTATTCAGCAAATTTGAATATGGTTGTTAATGCAATTGTTATAGGTGTGGTCCAAACCTTGCCATAATGGAAATCTAAGAAATAGCCTAAATACTTCAGACCATTCATGGTAGACCACATGATCACTCACTTATTACTTGACATGTGATGGAGCTTCAGGTGGTGGATTACTCGTCTCCTTGTAAAAAGTCCTATTCATCAAGAAATTGTTTCTGTTGGAGATGGTGTGTTCTGATATGACTTAATATCCTTCAACTATAGCCCTAATGTTTGTGGCTGAATAATTGCAGTGAGCAGGCTACAAGCTTTAATCTTAATATAAATAAAAATTACATTATCTCTACAAGCAATCGTTTGTCGTTGTGAATGCCTGTAGACATATTTCCAGTGCTGAGAACTTGCACATCTACTAATTGGTCTTCATGGTCCACGTATACTTTCTTTTCTCTGCCTGAATTATTGATTTAGTTGGGGTGGTTGCGTTATCAGTTTTATGTTAAGCGTCAGTGATCATGGAGAATTGGTGCTCTTACAAACAGATTTATTACTGAAAAACCTCCATTTTGTAGAGGATGAATATGACAAAGTTGTACTGAATTGTTTGTCAGGTCGTCAACTATGTTATAGAAAAGATGGTTCTTGATAAGCCACTGGATAGCCTAAACTCAGATGGAGCTGCTGGAATGTCTGGTGGACAGGTGACACACCCAGCTAATGGAGGAGATGGCATATTTCGGACTGGGCTGAAGCCTTGGCAAAAGCTTAAACCATCCATAGAAATCCTGTGCTGTAACCAGGCAAGTTTAGATTTCTGTTTGTGTTGTGTGGGATGCATAGCTGGTTAATCTTTAATTTCAAGCACTGTTTGTTTTTTCATTCCATTTCTTCGTGATGTATGGAAGTATGGATGTCAAATTTTAGCATTAGAACTGCACACAATCTGTGTATGTTGGAGGATGTGGCTAGATAATTGTCGATTTTAATATGTAGGTTCTTACTCTAGTTCCTGGTTAATGAACTCATTTTTGTACTTTTACCAGGTTTTATCCCCTGATATGAGCTTAGCGACTGTCCGTGCGTATATATGGAAGAAACCTGAAGACCTTGTCCTCAACTACCGGGTGTTGACGAGCAAGGGATAGGATTCTATTTGTCAGGTACATTCATTATTCTTTAGGCATATTTTATGTTCTGTATTTGGCATTCAGCTTTGTACACTATCCACAACCCCACACCACTACTCTTTGTACAGTTCAAATATTTCTTTCGGACGGAGATTTTCCATTGGGTTGGTTGTGATTTGGAGTTGGTTAGTCATTGAGTGACAGATTGTTGAAAAGCAGGCAGTTTTGGGGTGATGCAGATCAAATACTCATGCCATGTGATGACCAATTTTAGTCTTTAGCTTTATTTGGTTTAGTATGATTTGAGAGTTCTACTTGTTTTTCCTGGTTACATAACCAAAAATCTGATAATATCACCTCCAGCTCTGCGTTTGTAACAAAACTCAGGAGCACTATTCTATGTATCTCAGAGATGTAATCATCTTTCCTACTCCTACCTACGCTTTGATTGACCTCCAGTTGGCTAACTAACACTTGTCTGCTTTTGCTTTGATGGGTTGCTGCATTGACTAAAACATTGAGAATTTTCGTCTCTTTCTTGCAAATGGACATTGCTATATGCTTCCTGCTACCCTTCAAATTCAAATGAATTGAAATTCCTGCCCTGGACTTTCAAAGTATCTGCTGACCAACTCTCTCTCCTTCCATTTCTGATTATTGACTATTTGATTACTTTTATAAGGTGGCATTGCCTCAACTTACATTACAGAATCTTTCCCTTTTCTTGCCCCC